GCTATGTATCAACTGCCCCCGGGTCTTTTCCCTACTTACAATTATTTCAGTGACCGCATTTCAGCGATACAATGGTCGTTACATACTGAAACTTATGACACGGGAAATATCTACAGTTACGACTAAAGCCGCTTTAGCAAACTTCTCCTAATTCGCATCAATTAGTGATTTGATCTCAAGGTGAATTCCATAGTGAATTAATCCCTTACATAGACAGGTGGATTTATCCTCCACATTGATTCTGAAGCACACTCACCAAGAGTACGGGTAGACTGTGCGGGTAAGATTTGTAATGTTCAGCCAGCTAGGTTCTACCTATGACAAGCCCAGTGCAAATCGTGCCAATGTTTTTCACATCGTTGAATTAAATATGGCATGTTTCAGTCACAGTAACGTATGTTATTATAAAAGATTTAGTTAATCGATACGTTTTTTTTATAATGAAATTATTATTAATGTACGTATTAGAAACTATCCAAACCACACGTGAGCCAGCATACTCCTACTAGTTATTTTACAAACTCTACCAAAACGCACAATTTTTTATAATAACCATAATTGTTTCCGCGTAATTTAGGACTTAATGTGAGTATACTGTTACAGTTATTCGCTCCATACATGTAACATCGTGTACTCTGTCATATCAAGTTGCATTATGTTAGAACTGACCGATCTTTGTCGGCTGAACATGCTATCAATTATTTGTAGTTTATTTTGTATTTTGTGTTTATATAGCGACGAATGTTAATGTGAAGTGTAGTTAATGCATCCATGCATGCTCCCATCTGTAAGTGAATCCAAGCTGCAAAGTGTACCTAAAAATACGCTTTCCTGCCCAATGCAAAACGTGTCCAGATCATAATACAATTGATCGTAGACGCAAATGAGAGAACTAAGCGATTTTTGTTCCTCAAATAATAAGCTTGGTTACACGTCACAATTACTCTGTTGTAACAGCCATGAACAGTGGCATGCTCACCCTCTATCTTAGAAATTCATTTGAAGTTGATGACAAACAAATAAAAAATGATCAAAAAACCCCAGTGCCCCAGTGATGTCCCAGCACAAGGGCTTATCATCACGCAGTGCGTACCGTGTGTTCGCTTCGTGCTTTGCCATGAGACAAGCTCCTGTGTAGCACAGAATAGTCCTGCGCCATAATGTGATTTTCGTCGCACAATTCTCTTATCAGAATGATCCCATTCAACTAACGCTGTAAATCATGTGAAAATTGTATTGTTTCCCATTAGTTATCCCCATACAATGAAGATCGCCAGTATTGCCTTATTTTTAATTCGTTGACTAACTGCTTTCCAGTGGGTATATATTAATGTTGGACAATTTGTCTCAGACACTGTGGGTGTTTCTTGTCTCATACTGGTGACATGATTTTATTACGTTGGTGAATATCATTTATATATTGTCGAGATTGTCATCTTCAGCGTAATACTATGTAAAAAGGGGCATAGCAGGCAGGTATCACTCAATTTGAGAACCGCTGGCTCAAACTAGTATTGGAAAGACGGATCAAACTACATAGGCCTCATATTAACTTACGCCGACGTGTTTAGTCCTGCGTGGTTGCAATCGACCTACGCCGTTGTCGGCCAGTGCGAACACCAGTGTTCTCTCTATTCCTACAACAATTTGCATTTTGTTTACAACGTAATTTTGTATTCTCTCCAATCATCGGTCCAATGTTCCAAATACCTTGTCTTTGTGTATCAGTGGAACAGTAGACGCGGCCAACGGGAGAAAATAAAATACTATCCGAGGGATAAAAATAAATAGTGTCTCTCGGTCACCCTTCACGTCTGAGGTCTACTTGTTGGCTTCTAAGCGTCAGAGTTTCATATCTACCTTTATATCACAGCCCTGGACCAAGACAAACTTTCGAGTAGTATACTATACTGGACATCCAGCGCATGGCGTGACCAGTAACAGTAGCATTAATAGTATATTTCATTTGACACGAAATCACGTAGCGAATACATAATTTGTGGTCAACTAAATTTAAAACAGGCACAACTTTTAAGTGTGCAACATATACAAGAAATAATAAATGTATAGTTTGTTTAATTTAAAATATCATTAACAAACTTGCCCAGATTGTTGACAATGAAACGAACATTTGTACTTAGCTGATGGAGAAACAATTATTTTTTTATATGGAACGAGTATTCTTATCATATATGGAAATAGTGTTTAGGAATTACTACCGGGGCATTCTTTATTATATTGTTCCCACATTCAATTAGCGCATGGAATTCACTGCCAATAGACTGATTAGAACATAGAATACATACTATTTCCTCTAGCGGTACACCCTCGTATCTTATTTTTTCAATTGGTAATGTATGTGCTGAGATTCTGAACTTGGTGATACTTATTCTAGATTAACATTTTTACTTGGTTTAAATAGGGTTCGAATTCGTGTGAAAAGTTATTATATGTACGTAATTTATTTTTTTCCGATTTTTGAATATTTGTAGCCGAATCAATGTTTCACTTTTGTTTTAATTTAAATTGAATCTAGCCATGTATCACCATTTTCAGTTACAACATGCAATCTACTGATAAATGTTGCCAATGTAAATCTTTTGATTTTTTTCATCTGATTTGAAAGCACAGAATTTCAACACTTGTATACAGATATTAATAACGATAGGATAACTGCCTAATCCGTCCCTGAAAACTATGCTGCTTGCTCCTTTGTGAACACCTAAACATTGTTTCCAAAATTGTATTACGATAGGCAAAACTATACTTTTGAATATATGAATAGCATTGGGGGGACTGTATAATTATGTAAATCAAGTGTGGAAGTATGCCTAGTGCACGCGTTGCTTTCATGACTAAACTGTCTATAGCTTGTATGTAATTCTCGCCGCTTTGAAAAATAATTCCTAGATATGTATATGGAGAAATTATCTTAATATGTTGATTGTTTAAGTAAAAAATAATGATAATTTTTTATGTTAATAACCCTTATTTTATTGATATTTACATTAACATTTACACCATTTCCACTTTTCATATTATTCGTGCAATTTGTCAAGACTATTTTAGAAAACTCAAATTTGAATCTGATAAAATTACAATCATCCCAAAAAATAGACAATTAAGGTTGGTATTGACTAAACGGACAGAATCATTATTTTACAGGTCATTAA